TTTAGGGTTTAGGGTTTACATCGTCAGCATAGAACTGTATAACTTTTTGTATTACAGTTTGCGAGAGGTCTCCGAGCTGCATAAAGCGGCCAACAATTTCTTGTGAGTCCCCCTGTACTGAAATTAATAAAATAAACTCGTATAGTTTCATCACCTAAACACACAAAACCCTAAACCCTAAACCCTCCTAAACCCTAAACCCTAAACCCTCGAGAAAAAGGGCTTTTAAAGGATTGCTCTGCTGTGTAGTTTATTGTCGAGTATTTAGGGTTTAGGGTTTAGGGTTTAGGGTTTAGGGTTTATGAAAGAGGGCTTTCTATCGAGCAGCCCAACCCTATACTTTTGCATCTAGGGTTTAGGGTTTAGGGTTTAGGGTTTAGGGTTTACGAGAGAAGGGTTTCCATCAAGGAGCTCTTTCATGTGCTCCTTAAGAACGTCAAACTCCGCCTGAAATTTGTTCGATAAAAACTCGTTCATATAATACAACATACTCTCCACTGCGGCCTGAACACAAAGGGTTTAGGGTTTAGGGTTTAGGGTTTAGGGTTTGGGGTTTAGGGTTTGGGGTTTAGGGTTTGCGTGGGTGCAGCGTTAGAAGCTCGAGCTAACGCGGTGAAAGAGAGGGTTTAGGGTTTACAGGTGTGTTAGTATGTAACAAGGGTTTAGGGTTTGCATGTGTGTTAGGGTTTAGGGTTTAGGGTTTAGAAGGGTTTATTATTATCGCTCGTTCGCAGTGCAGGGAATGTGAGGAAGGACCCAACCCCTCTCGAGGGTTTAGGGTTTAGGGTTTAGGGTTTAGGGTTTATACCTGGGGAGATTCGCATGCATTGGGGTGTATAGACAGGTCAAACCAGGCCGGGTAAGCTTTGTTTAGTGAGCTCCATATACATTCAGGTGCTGCTGCCTCCTTTATATTTTTTGGGGGTTTAGGGAGAATAAAACATTTATTTGTAATATCTATAAGTGTATTTTCATCAAGAAAAGGGGTTGGAGTGAAGTATGAAGCCATGGTTGCGAGGGTTTTTGAGGGTTTAGAGGGTTAAGGGTTTAGGGTTTAGTAGGGTTTAGGGTTTAGGGTTTTTGTAGGATTCGACTGTCATAGTCAAGACAAACATACCCTAATTATACCCGATAATCACAATGAGGGTTTAGGGTTTAGGGTTTAGGGTTTAGGGTTTAGGGTTTAGGGTTTAGAAAGACAAATAGCTGTTGCTGCCTCGCCGCCGAGGTGCCTATACACCGCAGATATTTGGGGTGTACAGGCACCTCTAGACGATGAGGGTTTTGGTTTTTTTCTGAATATATTTGCATTTATAGAATTCAGAAAAAGGTTTTAATTGTTTTCAGGTGTATAACCACTGGTCACTGCATCCCGCAACCACAGCTGCCTATACACCCGAGCTCAGCAGCTGCAGCAGCAGCAGCAGCAGCAGCAGCAGCAGCACCACGCGGTGCAGAAAAAAGACAAAAAAACAAAAAAAGAACAAAATACTTCAATTCTTTTCAACGAAATATACACAAAAACATACCACAACCCCAATCGACTACAGACAGCAGCAGCAGCAGCAGCAGCAGCAGCAGCAGCAACAGCAGCAGCAGCAGCAGCAGCAGCAGCNCAGCAGCAGCAGCAGCAGCAGCAGCAGCAGCAGCAACAGCAGCAGCAGCAGCAGCAGCAGCAGCAGCGGGACTCGACGAGAGCTGCTCGGCTCTTTCGATGGAGGCTGTTGGCCTCTTTAATTATTTTTTATTTTTTTTTTTATTTTTTATTTATAAAAATTAAATTATTTATTTATTTCAGTTGTTTCTTCTCCGCGCAGCTGCACATACACCTCACGCCTGGGTGTAGTTGTAGTACAGCTAGAAATCGATATATATATATATATATATATATATATATATATATATATATATGCAACA